CTGACTAGTCCCGCCCCTCAAGTGCCTCTCTGCCTGTGAGTTACCAGACTCTCTCTCTGTGCAGAATTAAACAGAGGACGAGTCTGGCAGGCCAGGCTACAAACTTGCAGCACCACTCACAGGCACTGTTCATAAAATTAGAATACAGTGAAAACGTTGATTTATTTCAATAATTCTATTCAGAAATGAAACTTGTTTATTAGATTCATTCATTACACACAGACTGATAATAAGTGAAAACGACTGAAAATCCCAAATTCTGTATCTCAGAAAATTTGATAATTAATTAAGACCAATGCAAAAAAAGCAACTTTAGAAGTGTTGATAAACTGAAAACATGACTACATGAACATGAAATGTATGAGCATGTTGGGGTTCCTTCAGCCTGGATTACTGCAGCAATGCGGCGTGGCATGGAGTCGATCAGTCTGTGGTACTCCTCAGGTGTTACGAAAGCCCATGTTGCTCTAATAGTGGCCTTCAGCTGTTCTGAACTGTTGGGTCTGGCATAGTGCCTCTACACAATATCCTATAGATTTTCTATGGGGTTGTAGTCAGGTGAGTTTGCTGGCCAGTCAAGAACAGGGATACTTTTGGGCCATTCCCATCTGTACCGGGTCGGCCCGGGCCGGGTAGCCCCAGTCGGCCCCAGTCGGCCCCAGCCTGGCCCGGTTGATTCCACACATCCTTGCCTTAAGCCCATGTGGGCTGATTCTACCCACCAATCAGAGGCTTGCTCTAATGGAAGGTGTGAATTTGCTGTCCGCAGTGGGTGTGTTGGCCCTGGTCGGCCTGAAGCAGACCTCCTCGAGAAGAGGGCTGAGAATGAGCCTTGGTTGGCCCGGAAAAATACCAGGCCACCCAGATATGTAAACAACCTACGCTACCCGGCCTGGGCCGACCCGGTACAGATGGGAATGGCCCATATGGTCCCTAAACCAGGCACTGGTAGCTTTGGTACTGTGTGCAGGTGTAGTCCTGTTGAAAAATAAAATCTGCATCTCCATCAAGTTGGTCAGCAGCAGGAAGTGTTCTAAAACCTCCTGATCTTTGAACTCAGAAAACACGATAGACCCACACCAACTAATGACATGACACCCCAAACCGTCACTGACTGTAAACACTTTACAATGGACCTCAAGCAACACTCTGTTCCTTTCCTCTCTTCCTCCAGACTCTGGGGCCTTGATTTCCAAAGGAAATGAAAAATTTACTTTCATCAGAGAACCTAACTGTGAGCCACTCAGCAGCAGACCAGTCCTTTTTCTCTTTAGCCCAGGCGAGACACTTCTGATGTTGTTTCTTGTTCAAGATTGGCTTGGCACAAGGAAGGCAACAGCTGAAACTATGTCTTGCATACGTCTGTGCTCTCTAGCTTGGACACAGAGCTCTGTGAATAGCCAGCCTCTTTACCAGTGATCTGTTGTGTCTTGCCCTAAGTTGGCATTGGTCTTAAATCATATTCTAATATTCTGAGATACTGATTTTGGGAGTTTCATTAGTCTTAAGTTATAATCATCAAAATTAACTAAATAAACATTTGAAACATATCAGTCTGTGTGTGATGAATAAATATAATATACAAGTTTCACTTTTTGAATGGAATTCCTGAAATAAATAAACTTTATCAAGATATTCTAGTCTTTGACCAGTACCTGTTGCATGAGCATTTAATTTCTTTTGCTTTTATTTTAGTCCACTAAAATCCACAAATGCAAACAAAAACTTCCTCTTATTAGGTCCTCTGATTTTTCACATGCCAGACATTTGAAACAGCCAAATGTGTGTCAAAACATTTAGTAATCCACTGTAGTATCGCTGTTAATACAAACACCAGCTGGTGTAATAGCTTGCACCAAAAGATGTGCATTTTTGAATCAATCTGCTCGGAAACATCTTACACAAGCGTTGCTATGATCAAATTTGGACTATTGTTCTATAGTTTGGTCAAATGCAAATTAAGGAACAATTGAAAAACCACAGAAAATCTCAAACAGAGCTGCACGATTAGTATTAAAAAGGGATTATAAAGCAAATGTCAGAGATATGCACACGGAACTAAATTGGCTATTTTTGAATAACCTACTATTATATTCACTGCTTATTTTTATTTGGAAGCTTAGGGAGACTAAGATGCCATCTATTTTATTTACGTCTCTTGAATTTAGTAAAGATAAGCACTTGTATGATACAAGACATGCCTCAGAAGATAAATTTACATTACCAAAAGTGAGATCTGATGCTTTAAGCAATGTTTGTTTATTTTTATGTTTATGTTTATGTTTTTAGCAGACACTTTTGTCCAAAGCGACTTACAAGTGATAATCGGCATGTTGCCCTTGAGGCTAACAACACAATAACTGGACATCAGTCATAGAGAGTAGGGAACAAGGAGTGGACAGTAGAAAGGGGGGACGGGTGCAGGGAGGGTGCTAGTTAAGAAGATGATCTCTGAAGAGCAGGGTCTTCAGGAGTTACTTGAAAATTGAAAAAGAAGCCCCTGTCCTGTAGTGCTTGGTAGGTCATTCCACATTTGTGGAACGATGCATGAGAAGAGTCTGGATTGTCCTGGGCGTGGTGTAGGCACTGCTAGCCGACGATCCTGTGATGACCGGAGCGGCCGGGTCGAGACATAAACCTTTGCAAGAGGATTCAGGTAGATGGGAGCCGCACCATCTCGGACTTTGTATGCTAGTGTTAGCAATTTGAATTTGATGCGTGCTGTTAGCGGTAACCAGTGGAGCTCAATGAACAGAGGGGTGACGTGTGCTCTTTTTGGCTGATTGAAGACCAGATGCGCCGCTGCATTCTGGACCATTTCAAGAGGTCTCACAGTACAGCCTGGAAGACCAGTTAGAAGGGCATTGCAGTAATCGAGGCGGGAGATGACAGTAGACTGCACCAGGAGCTGGGTGGCATGTTGTGTTAGGAATGGTCTGATCTTTCGTATTTTATACAGCGCAAAGCGGCATGAACGAGCAACAGAGGCAACATGATCTTTAAAGGCCAGGTGTTCATATATATTTTTTTATACATACATATATATATATATACACAAACATACAAATATATACCGTAAATCCTCTAATATTAGCCTGTATTTAATTAACTGCCGGGTATCATATTTTGGCCGGTGTCGGAGTCGATGGAGGTGAACAATGGCTGTTCTTTTATTGTGGCTGGGTGGAATGTGGTAACAAGCAAGTACCACGGGCGGGGGGGGGGGGGGGGGGGGGGGGGGGGGGGCTTGTGTCATCCGTCTCACTTTTGATTTGCCAGTGATAGACCGCGAGGGTAACTTTAACCGTGCGGAGACGAAGAGGAGGCGAAAATTTGATATCAAGTTCAAAGAGAACGTGCTGATAATGCTGCAGAACACTCTGGGGAGCAGTAGCAGGGGTTGTATGAACTAGTCACTAGTCGACTTCACCGCTCTATAGTGACTTTTTATGCCTGTCGTCGACTAATCGCTGTCATGTGATAATGACCGGCAAGATGCAGTCCACGGAAAAGACAGCAGCCTGCTGTCAGCAGGTGACAAGCTCCTGCACGTCGGGAGGCAACGCGCTGTGCCAGAGCGTCGGTACAGACACCCGCCGTAAAACGGACATTTAACCAAATTGTGACGTTTACCCTCTTGCAATTTAACCTTCCCCTCACCCCCATCCTAACCTTAACCAGCTTGCACATGCAAAGCTCTGATTGTTGACGCGCTCCAGACATCTGCGTCCTGAGCACGGCCACAGTAACATTATCAAATCAGGTGTCGCCACCTCAAAAACTAATTTAACACGCGATCGTTCATGTCGGCTCATTTCCTTTTATGTTTGTTGTTTTTTTATTCTTTTATTTGAACTGCAGTTCAAAGGTAACTCATAAGGTGAATATATATGAACCCAGTTAGAAGTTTTTCTTTAGGATTGAGAGGAGATGCAGGAAGATAATAAACAGGCAGGACAGAAAAATAATCAAATAAAAACAAGTTAGTTTTTGTACCTGGTGGTTGCAACAAACAGACACCATTGAAGGTAATCAGAAGTGAGGAACAGAAAATGAAATAATTATTTTAATGTTTAGAGCAGCAGAAACTCCGAGAGGCTGCAGGCGCATCAGTGAGTTTGCGGCCGCTGCGCAGGGGGAGGGGGGAGAGGGCTGAAGCAGAAACTACCGTTGTTAAAAGAAATGTGTTTAACTTTGAAAATGTGGGCGCAATTTTAATTGTCAAAAACTCCAGCGAACCATTAGTTCATTTTGCTCAAATAGAAATTGAGGTCTGCCTCTAATTCTTTTCCTCCTTCCAATAAAGGCCTGGAGCTTGATGAGCTTGAGTCAAATACAGGCCCGGGCCTGTATTAGAGAATTTACGGTATATATATAAATATGTGTGTGTGTGTGTGTGTGTGTGTGTGTGTGTGTGTGTGTGTTTAAAATATATATATATATATATATATATATATATATATATATATATATATCAATGTTATTTCGTGTGGTGGATTTGTTTCTGTATTTTTAAGTGCTTTAATATATATATATATATATATATATATATATATATATATATATATATATATATATATATATCAATGTTATTTCGTGGGGTGGATTTGTTTCTGTATTTTTAAGTGCTTTAATATATATATATTATATAAACATTGTTTTAGAAGTAGTATAAATAGGTCAGCAGGAAGAATAGCAGCAGCTCGCTGCAGCTAATGGGGTTCCTAAAATAATAAACAAAAATAAACAAATCAGCTCCCCACACCTCATGTCTTTTACCTCAGCTCTGTCACTGTTTACGTCAATCTTTTCACACATAACACTTCAGTGGAAAGCAGTGGTCTAAGGCCTGGTTTAAGGTGTTGTGAAATAGAAGTTTCAGTAAGTCTCCACCACTCTGCTGTAGAGATGTTCTTTCCCATTTGACTTGTGCTTCCATACAGAGTTCAGCAGGGACCAGATTATCAATAAATAAAATACTAATGAGGCAGTTTTCATGTTAGTGATTAAACAAGCCAGTAAACGTGTTTCAGTCTGAAGCCCGTCTCCCAGAACTTACGATTCAATGCTTATCAAGTCCCGCAAAGAAAAAACAATCATTGCAAAAACATCACACTTCACGTTGTTTACCATAACCAATGCATGAAACCACAAAATAAAATGTTCCACTCAACTGGCCAATCAGAAGCTGCATTTCTTTAAAGCAAAATGTCTGTGTGTTTCAACATCCGTCAATGAAACATGTGTGATGTCTTCACCTTCAGATAGCATCACTAATGGACAGACTCATGATTCTGGTTGTTCTGTTGGGTAGGTTGAGATTTTTGTTCCAAGTTTAAGTGTCAGGAATTATGCAAAAATGTGTCCTGTTTGAATTTCTTTAACTCAAATTTATCTAAAATTTTGGAGAATTGGTCTCATGCTTTTATTTGTGTGTTTTATTCCAGGAGTAGTTTCCTGCAGTCCTAACTCACCAGAGTTAGAGGTGATCATCAGATCTGGAGATAATGTAACTCTTTACTGTGACTGCAAAGTGGATCGTGGAGTTTACATCGTTTGGTACAGGAACTGTTCCGATAGGAATCACTCTTCACTCGTTCTACATGTGAACTCCTACACCTGGGAAAACAGAATTCCTAATTTCAAATTTCCAAAAAACTTTTCTTCTGATTCCTATGACCTGGTGATCTTGAACGCTACTATTTCTGATGAGGGTCTCTATTACTGTGGAACTGAAACATCAAATGTGGAGAAAACAAAAGACAAAAACATTATTTACAAAAACATTTACACATACGGCAACATCACCCAAAGAGTGAGAGTCTGTAAGTAGTTTCACAACGTTTTATTGTGTTTGTTCTAATAGATGATTCAACAAAAGACTGTAAGGACTAACTGCTCTGTTTTTATGTTTTATATCAAAGATCAGGTCATTTGTTATTGATCTATACTGTTTTTAAAAAGCAACACTTTTTTGGGGCGACGGTGGCACAGGAGTTAAGTGCTCGCCCCGCAATCGGAAGGTTGCAGGTTCGAGCCCCACTCAGTCTGTCGCTGTCATTGTGTCCTTGGGCAAGACACTTAACCCACGTTGCCTGCTGGTGGTGGTCGGAGGGACCGGTGGTGCCAGTGCTCTGCAGCCTCGCCTCTGTCAGTGCGCCCCAGGGCACCTGTGGCTACATCGTAGCTCATCCCCACCAGTGTGTGAATGGGTGAATGACTGATTGTGTTGTAAAGCGCCTTGGGGGGTTTCAGGACTCTAGAAGGCGCTATATCAAATACAGGCCATTTACCATTTAAACAAGAGTATTTAAAAATCTGATAAAATACATCAACTATATTCATTACAATAATGTTTTAAGATAAAACCCTTATTTGTACAATTTCTTTTATTTGAGGGTAATTTCATGTTTGAATATTAGAAAATTATCTTCCAAAAGGAAGTGAAAATAAAAAAATATCAGTTTCTTCAAAACCACCCAGAAATGAATTACAATGAAAGGGAAAATCATCTCTGATACGTAAGAATTTAATGATTAAAGATCACACTATACTTAAAACATGCATAGAAAATATTTTAGTTTGAAAATATTACACATGAATTTTGTGTTTTATTACCAATCTTAAAGTCATTTCATACAAAGTATTATCAAAACTTCACATTTGCTTTAGATACATAAAGCAGAAGTTTAAATACTTGTTCAGAAAGAAGAGAACAGCATTTTAAAAAGAATATTTTTGCTGTGTGTTTAATCAATAACAAGTTCAAATGATCTCAAACTATTTTCTACTTTGTATTTGATCCAGACTCCAGCGAGCCCGATTCAGTCTTTAATGAGACTCAACAGGACTGTAGTTTGTGCTGGAAGCTGCTCTACTTTCTGTGTCCGGCTGTTTCTGTTGTCTCCATTTTCCTTGCTTTGGTTTTGGCTCACCTGGTTTGCCCTAAAATTGGTATTTTTAACATTTATGTATTTTCTGATCACATTTATTTTCATGTAATGCTTAAGTTTTGCTTATGATGGACATTTTTATCATATTTCTGCAGCACGAGAAGCTCAAGATGCTGAAAGGAGTCAGGACTCAGTGAGGCAGACACATGAAGCACAGGTAATTTCCTTTTTCTCTTTTAATGAACAAATTCTCTTTTTTGTGAATATTTAAATCTCTTTTTTCACTGATGATTTGTGTGCAGGCAATACATTTGTTTTGTTTTTTTATACTTGCATTTCCATTTGAATTCTTAGTGTTTGCCCACCAAGTTAACCACAAACCATACAGATTTGATTGTATGTTAATATTGTTCAATTACAGGATGAAGATGTGTGTTATGCTGCTCTGGAAATCCGTTCAGCTTCACAGAAACTGAAGAGAAAGAGGACGACACAGAGTTCTGACTTCAGCGTGTATTCTGACATCAATACACCTCACGTTTAGGTTTACCTAACAGATATGATCAGTCAAGGATACTGAAGTTTTGCTGTGTTTTCCTGATTTTTGTTTACACAAATTGTCAAACGTCTTGTGTTTTTTGTTTTTATGCATTGATTAACTCTTTTAAGGCAGCTTTCTGTTGTGTTTGTCACATGTACAAAGTTTCAGATTCATTTATCCAAATAAAAGTTAGACTTTAGTTTTTCAAATTTCAGACTGTAAATTTACTCAGTGTCACTTTGCATTTGAGTATCAACAGTCAGTGAGTGAGTGAGTGAGTGAGTGAGTGAGTGAGTGAGTGAGTGAGTGAGTGAGTTAGTTAGTTAGTTAGTTAGTTGTTAGTTAGTTAGTTAGTTAGTTTTCTGACTAAACTGTCTAATTACAGAGTCCTGAGTTTTAGAACACAACACAGACAAGGATAAAATTAGCTTAACCCTCAGGAAACCCACAGCGACTGCAGAGGTATGCATGCAGACAGATTTACCCCGGTACCCTTAGTGAACAAAGATAAAACTAAGATAGATTAAAATTGCAACAAAGATGCAAAATGCAAGTTAATGTGTGTTTAACAATGATGAGGTGTACAATACAAAATCCTAGTTTACAGATAAGTTACATAAAGAAGATATATTTGCATTGGTAAAAATTCCCTACTGCTGCTCATGTATCTATTATAGCTATCATGTCTCATATGTTGCCTTAAAAACACCACAATCGCGTGTGTGAGTGGGTGGGTGGTACTTTCAGTGGTTGAAACACTGTTTTTACTGTTCAGTTCACCAATGCTGGGTTTGTAAACGCAAAGCTACTCATGTAAAAGTAATCACGTAACATGCTGGAGCGGCTTGTAAATAGATATGAGTTTATTGTTTCTTTATTCGAGTTTGTTGATTTCTTTGTTTATGTGTTCTTGTTTTATATTTCCTTTTGTTTGTTTGTTTGTTTTTCTTAGCGTTTCATGCTTTGGATCAGTTTATTTGGTGCTTTGTCAAAACGTTTCATTCACGCTCTCACTTATTTTTTAAACCTCTTCATCTGATTTGGGTCGATGGGTTATGGTGGGGTTATGGAGCTGGTGCCTATCTTAGGTGATAGGAAGAGGACACCCTGGGCAAGTTGTCAGTCCATCACAGCTGGTAATCGTGAGGCCAGGGGTCACACTGTTTTCTGAGTGTTTGCAGTTCTGAGTTTAAATTGTTCTTTTGACATAGTTTGCTCAAGTCATTTTGAAGTACCTGTTTAGTAATAAATGTAAAGAAAATTCAAATCTGTTCATTTTTTTATTTAAGCTGCAGGTTTACAGACTTTAATAAACATAAACACTAAATACAAACCAGACACTGAAAGCTGAGGTTGTTCTGAAAAAAAGAGCAGAGTTACAAACATTTTGCACTTTTATTACAATTTTAAAGCCACAAAACAAAAAAATACCTGTTATGTTTATGGTCATAACCGTGATAAACTTTCCGCCTCCCACCAAGAGATGGTAAAAGTGAATGTGAGCATAATTATATACGTTTTATGACTTTATTATGTATTTTTTTATTATTGACTATTACTCCAAAGAGCTCAGATGAAGGCAGCTGGACTTCTTTGGTTTCTTTAAAACATTTAATTTCTCATCTGAGGAGCTTTGTCAGTTCTAACTGGAATATGGGAGAGTCAAGTTTATAAGCTGCAGCTGTCTGTTGTTATTTAAAGAGCAGAAACTACTCTGAGTACCCCGCCTCTCCATCTCCTGATGAGTCTTTAGCCTCTATTGATGGTGAGTCATCGTGTTGATTTACCTAGACTGAAACTGCTTAGCAATGAGATTCAAATCTGCATTATTGGTACTAGAAAGGTGAAATCTAAGCCCCTCCCCTATTTAAAGTGGGTTATTCACGTTTGACATAGATAGCTTCTTTTACTCCTCTCTCAAATCATCTATCTTCTCTGTCCAGAATGTGGACTTTGTCATCTTCAAAGGTGTGTCCCTTGTCCTTCAGGTGGAGGTGGACTGCAGAGTTTTGACCTGAAGAGGTGGCTCTCCTGTGTTGTGTTATGTTCTTGTGTAATTGTTTAGTTTCTCTAATGTAAACATCTGGACAGTGCTCCTACACCGGACTGCATAAACAACCCCACTGAGCTTCTGTTTGGGTGTTTCGTCTTCTGGATGGACCAGGTTCTGTCTGAGGGTGTTGTTGGGTTAAAGTTTACCGGGATGTTGTGTTTGGAGAAGATTCTTCTAAGTTTCTCTGCGACTCCTGCCACGTATGTGATGATGGTGCCTTTGTGTAAAGGGTGTTGTTGTTAGGTTGGTAGCAGAGCTCTCATGTTTAATGTTAAGTTCAGTGAGATCATGGAATGGGATCAAGAATTTTCTACTGACAGGAAAAAGATCTCAGCTAACATAGCTGTAAATCACACTGAATAACTCTTTGTGGTTGCATTTATTTTACATTTATTTTACTACCTCTTACTAGAGCTGTCTTTAGTAAGCACAAAATATCTTTGGTTGTACACCTGTGCAATAGCAATAAAGGATCTTGATTTCTGTTAAATGTACTTCCTGAATGAGTGACCTTTTCAGGCTAAAGCAACAAAATGACAAATACAGACAGAAGGACGACTTATTTCTTCTTTTATAATGCGTTGCATCACCACCTGGTATCAGAACAGGACTCAGTATTGGAAGATAATCAAAAATCAAACAACTTGGACTCGGATCAGGGGCAGAAATGTGGTTGTAACATCTCTAGATGTAAGTCAGCTTTAAAAACTAAAACTATTATTTATGAACAAATATTAACACTAATGACACTAATTGGTATATTTTTATTATGTTATTTGAACCCAAGGGTCTCATTATCTGAATTTTCTAACTTGTTGGATTGCTCTATAAGTGCCCCTTTTTTACTTTGAGCACCCGCCCCATCAAAGGTCTCTGCACGGCCCTGCCCAGGATCCACTAATTTCCCTCTTTCCTATTTGTTTTCTTTTTCCATACCCTTGCATTTTTTTAATCACAATTCTTTATTTATTGACTTATGATTTTAATCATATTTTTAAAAAAATGTTTGAAGATTTTTTTGTATTTTGAATATTTTGTTCTTGTGAAGTACCTCATGATTTTTTCATCTTGAGAGGCGCTATATAAAAGATAATTTCTTTCTTTCTTTCTTTCTTTCTTCATACTCCAGGGTTACTTGCGGAGTACCACAGGGTTCAGTGCTTGGACCAATTCTTTTTACTATATATATGCTCCCAATTGGTAAAATCATTAGACAGCATGGGATAAACTTCTACTGTTATGCTGACGATACTCAGTTATATTTATCCATTAACCCTGATTAACCTAATCGGTTGGGTAGATTACAGGCTTGTCTTGAGGATATAAAAAAATTGGATGACTCTAAACTTCTTGCTTTTAAATCAAGACAAGACAGAAGTTCTCATCTTTGGACCAGAAATCCAGAAAAAGAAATTGCTTAGCCAATCGCCTGACCTTAATGGCATTACATTAATCTCCGAGAACAAAGCAAGGAACCTTGGTGTTATCTTTGACCAGGACATGTCATTCAAATCCCAGGTTTCACAAGTTTGTAGGATTTCCTTTTTCCACCTTCGGAATATTGCTAAGATTAGAAGCATCATTTCCAGAAGTGATGCTGAAAAACTAGTTCATGCATTTATTACATCAAGACTGGATTACTGTAATTCATTACTCTCAGGAAGTCCACAGAGTGTAGTTAAAAGTCTTCAGCTTGTCCAAAATGCTGCAGCTAGAGTTCTGATGAGAATTAAAAAGAGAGATCATATCTCTCCTGTCTTAGCTTCCCTACATTGGCTACCTGTTAAATTCAGAATAGATTTTAAGATCCTTCTTCTCACATATAAAGCTCTTAATAATCAAGGTCCATCATATATCAGTAATCTGATTGTTCCATATGTTCCTAACCGAGCACTTCGCTCTCAGACTGCAGGTCTACAGGTGGTTCCAAGAATATCTAAACTTAGGATGGGAGGCAGATCTTTTAGTTATCAGGCTCCTCTCCTGTGGAACCAGCTCCCAGCTTTAGTCCGTGAGGCAGACACCTTGTCTACTTTTAAGACTGGGCTTAAAACATTTTTATTTGATAGGGCCTATGGTTAAAATCTGATGTTAGCCTAAATCTGGACAAGTGGGGGAGTAGAGGGAGGTGGAGTGTACAGTCAGTAAAGACGGCTCTCCCTTGCCCTGCCTCCAACATGCCTCCATCTAAATAGGATAGATTATCCTGAGTTATCTCTGTAGTTATGCTGCTATAGGCTTAGACTGCTGGAGGATACACTGACCACTTTTCACACTCTACTACTTTCTTCTACAGTCTGCTCTTTAACTGTACTATTTTCTGCAATTTCAGCTGTTAACTTTATTTTCTCTCTAAGTGTTTTTCTCCCCAGAAGAAGCTACGGTGACGTTCTGCTGAGCTGTGGTGGCCTCATGGAGGTGGCCATCGACTAGCACACTGCTGCTAACCACTAATACATTCTCTCTCTCCTGATAATAACTTTTTGTTTTCATTGACTTTTGATGTGCTAATACTAGTTTATCCATTTAATTAGAGATCCACTAGGATAAATACAATAAAGTTTATCTTTCACCAAATACAATATTTACTAAGACATCACAATATAACTATAGGCACATTACTTGTCTTTGTGTGTGTGTGTGTGTGTGTGTGTGTGTGTGTGTGTGTGTGTGTGTGTGTGTGTGTGTGTGTGTGTGTGTGTGTGTGTGTGTGTGTGTGTGTGTGTGTGTGTGTGTGTGTGTGTGTGTGTGTGTGTGTGTGTGTGTGTGTGTGTGTGTGTGTGTGTCTGCTCTGTCTTCTCGATCCCTAGTGAGTCGTGGAGGATGGCTGCTTGTACTGAGCCAGGATTCTCTGGAGGTTTCTTCCTGTTAAAAGGGAGTTTTCCTCTCCACTGTCACTGCATGCTTGCTTAGTATGAGGATTGCTGTATAGTCACTGACACTAGTCAGTGACTTGATGCAATTTGCTGGGTTCATTATTTCTGATTTGCTTAATGAACTGTGAATTGGAATGTTTATTATGTGAAGTGCCTTGAGACGACTCTTGTCATGATTTGGCGCTATATAAATAAATTTTAATTGAAAACTTGAATTGAATTCTTTCTTTCTTTCTCTCCTCCACTCATTGATCCACAACATTCCAAGTCAAGGTCAGCAGCACACTGTCCCCACTATAAAATGTTTTGGTAGTACACATTTTTCCCCTCCTGATGCTAAATGGTGGTCCAGAATCTCCTCAAAGCTACAGAGAAGTCTTGGTCCTTGGAATCACCAAACTCTTCCTATATCTGGGTTTGTGCTTCTGTGACCACCCAAGCCAAATTCTGCTTGGACAGCCGCTACCAATCAGCTGTCTGGGTTTAAGGGTTTAAGACTGTCTATACTTAATTCAGACTAAATGATTGGGCTTTACACTTGTGGAGGTACAAAATAATGACTTTTTGTTGGGGAAAACTTAATTAATCAAGGATTGTTTCACTGTTAGAAACAAAAGTAAAATTGTGCGGATTTTTATCTAGTCCAAAGATGTGCATTTACAGTCCACAATTCTCCAACATCGATGTGCATGGTTCTGTTTGTCTCTGTGGGTTTCCTGTCAGCCTGACCACAAGAGCAACACAAAGTAAATGCCACTTTTAATGTCACTGTGTTGCAACTGCTCAGCAAACGTTTTATGTAGCATGTGAAGTTTTAATGGTCTAATGAAACAACACCTTATGATCAGTACTTTGTGGAAAAGATGTTCTGACAGGAATACAGTTTCTACAGTTTTTATGGTGAAAATAGTATGCATATGAATTATTTATTTGATAATAGATTCCTTCTAAGCATAATGCAGCACTGGGCAGCTGAAAAACTAAAAAAAAAATTAAAGAATCACAAATGCAAGCAAAAAGGAGAGTTTACACAAAAGGGAAACAGCTTTTCCCTGAATGGTCAAATCACTCATTCTGAAAGTTCTGATGGAAAACTGACACATCAAAAGTGGCTAACGTCTAGATTACCTCTTGCACTACTACCAGGCAAAAACCCCTTTCGATTTCATATTTCACTGTCTTTGCCTTTGGCAACACAGACCTCTCTAGATGCATAAAGCATGTTTGTATGCGTGCCATCAGTTTCAGAAGCTGGTCTGTTTGTGGCTTTAGATTTCCACTCATGAAAACCGAACAAAGCAAAGTGGTGCATGCAGGTCCTTTTTAGTTCCTCAGCTG